AGCTCCCAAAATATTAGAGGAATCAGAGAAAGTCTAGGTCTACTGCCTTAATTTCGAAACAAAAATAGAGACCAGAGATAGGTTTTTGATGAGCCTACCTTAAAAAAGAAGATAATAATATATAGAAACTTAGTCCCATAATATGCTTCCTCTAGAAGTGGTAACAAATCTGTCTTCTCTACTACCTTTAGTGATTTTTTTTCAGTCTTCTATCTTTTTGTATCTATTATATTTCTCTGAGCCACGTGGTGAAGGTCTGCACTCCACTATTATCTTAGAATTCTTTTTACCTTACCACTGGCTGAGATGGACACTCTCTATAATTTTAGTATTCAGATGACATGTTAAAGTTGAACATGAAGAAAAATTCAAGCTGTGATTAGGCATCAGCATGTCTAGGTCAAGCCTATCTTTCAGTGTTTTTAGGCAAGTGCTATGGATCAGAAGATACCAAGGGCAAAATGAAAACCTAAGAAAAGGAACTGAAAAATGAATATTCTTGAATTGGTGGCAAATTATTCTGACTTCCCCATACGGCTTTAAAAATGTTGCTTCATCTCATTCTTATAAGACGTGGCATTGTGGTTCAAGTGGTGTATAGGGAGCCTTCTAAAACTGAATAGAGAGAATTTAGGAATATACACAAGCATATATATGTTAAACATGTACTAATTCATTAATAAGGTGAACATAGGTAAATAAAATATTACATATTATTTCTGATTTATGATATAGTATATTTGCAGGTCTTGCCATAAAGAATAACAAAGAGTATGTCTTTGAGCGCACTGTCCCTTATGCGTCCTGCCCTCTCCATGCTTCTGAAACACCATGAGGAAAATCAGTTCTTACAGTCAAGGTTGATCCTTGACTACTTGGAGGAGTGCTGAAGAATAAGTCATAAAATTAATCTGCCTTAAACAAATACAAACACAAGTACCTTAAACATAAGCACAAAGGTGCACACATGCACCCTCCCCCCATCTCGCCATCCTTATCAAAACTGTCCCCCTTGGTTTAGATAAGAATGAAGAAATATGTGGGGGATGGGGTATATCTAGGATGCTTCAACATTCTCCAGGAATCTATGGGGATTACTTAATATTTTTCGAAGATCGTGTGTTGCTCCCTTGTCCTTGGGTTTGTTGACTCCCTCCTTCCTTTTCCCTCCCTCCTGCTCTCCTGTGTCCCCCTGGAACCATGGGTTCCATTGTTAATCAATGGTGAGGAAGGCAGAGGATGCCTGATGGGGTTTGATTAAGTGCAACGTAGCCAAAATGAATTAATGAAACACGAATCAAGGCCAGACATGATAGTGGGACAAGAGGAAAGTGAAAGGAAATAGAGGAAATAACTAGGAGGCAAAGAATATTTATAGAGGTCATGTACATATGTAAATAGATTTATATATAACGATAGAAAATAGATCTATGTACACATATTTATATGGTAAGTATTAAGGTAGCAGATGGACACTGGGCCTTTACTCAAGGACTCCTTCAACACAAGAACATTTTGTTCTAATAACCTGGCATTCTGTGATTCTCACCTTGCCGACACAATCACTGAAGACAAAAT